TGCGGCCAGTCCTAACGTCGCTTTCGGAACCAAAAAAAACTATCAATCAAGACAGCAGCTGCCAGTGGGTGCTGCCCCTAGCTCTGGGGTATGGGGTGCTATCCTGATATGGCTCCTGCTGCTAGCCCGTGGGCTCTGGCTCCTATCCTGACCTGGCGCACGTGGGCTCTGGCTGCAATCCTGACGTGGCGCAGGGTTTTGGTGGTGGCGCAGGGTTTGGGGTGCGGCCAGTCCTAACGTCAGTTTCGGAACCAATAAAAAACCATGGCTCCTGCTGCTAGCCCGTGGGCTCTGGCTGCTATCCTGACCTGGCGCAGGGTTTGGGACGGGATTGGTTGCACGTAGCACAAGCGTAGCGCAAGCATACCTCCTCTGACGCGCTCCCCCTGCTTCGCCAGGCTCTGGCTGCTATCCTGACGTGGCGCAGGGTTTTGGTGGTGGCGCAGGGTTTGGGGTGCGGCCAGTCCTAACGTCACTTTCGGAACCAATAAAAAACTATCAATCAAGACAACAGCTGCCAGGGATTGGGTGCTGCCCCTAGCTCTGCGGTGCTATCCTGACATGGCTCCTGCTGCTAGCCCGTGGGCTCTGGCTGCTATCCTGACCTGGCACAGGCACAGGGTTTGAGGTTGGGACGTGGCACCTTGGCCGTGACGTGGGCTCTGGCTGCTATCCTGACGTGGCGCAGGGTTTTGGTGGTGGCGCAGGGTTTGGGGTGCGGCCAGTCCTAACGTCAGTTTCGGAACCAATAAAAAACTAACGTGCACCTTGGCCGTGACGTGGGCTCTGGCTGCTATCCTGACGTGGCGCAGGGTTTTGGTGGTGGCGCAGTCCTGACGTCACTTTCGGAAATAATAAACACTATAAAAAACGACAGCAGCTGCCAGGGATTGGGTGCTGCCTCTAGCTCTGGGGCTCTGGCTGCTATCCTGACCTGGCACAGGCACAGGGTTGGCTCTCCTGACGTGGCGCAGGGTTTTGGTGGTGGCGCAGGGTTTGGGGTGCGGCCAGTCCTATCGTGACTTTCGGAGCCAATAAAACTATAAAAAACGACAGCAGCTGCCAGGGATTGGGTGCTGGTCCTAGCTGTGGGGTGCTATCCTGACATGGCTCCTGCTGCTAGCCCGTGGGCTCTG